TTTTTAAACTCTGGACCTGATGTTTAATTGTCAAAAACGAGATGATAGAGGAGAAACATAATCAAACTCATTTTTGGAATTTGATTAACTATACAGACAGTTTTTGAAGATTTTTATGTTATATGCATTGCATTGCAATTTACAAATCTTGAATAATTAAAATTTGTTGCCATTGTGAAAATAACAAACACATGTATAAAAATTTCTATAGTGTAACATAATGAGAACAGATTTCCTGTTTATATATTTTGTGGTTAGTTAAAAGGCAGGTAAGAACAGCAGACCCATGTTTCAGTTTCTTTTGGCAAATTAACACTTCTGTTAACAGACTAGATAATTCGCAATATCCCTAAGTACTGTTTTTGACATTTCTTTTCTATAGAAACATAATACTATCCAATGCATTTTAAATATTTTTATTCTGCAAATCATAATTTGAGATTCATTAACAGTCTTGCTATAAAAGTTTCCCATTTTCTAGACATGAAAATATCTTACTGTTCTTAACCTTGTATTTGATTTAGTCCTTCATGGATTCCTGTAAAATGTGGGTTGTTTTGATGACTAAGAAGTTTTAAGCAGCCAAAATGGGATTAAAATGTAAGAGGAAGAATTAAAGTTTTTCCTTCCAATTTTATAAAATGCAATAATCACTACTTTTTTCCACTGCCAGAAACATATTGTTTAGGAATAGTACATGCCCCAAAATGCTTATGAAGTATGAGAAAAATAGCTGTAAATTTGTTTTACTTTTTGAAGTCTCAGAATATGGGAAAATAGAGATGAAAAAATTGAGTTTTAATCTTAGGATAGAGATTTGTTAGATACATGTGCCTTTTATAGTGTAACATTTAAAATACTGTTAACATACAGTGTCACTGAAATTATCCAAGAAGTTACATGTAATTTATATTTTTAAATTATTTTTATTGGTTATTGATTAATAAACAGAAAGAAAGAACAAAAAACAAAGGTAATAATGAAGCAGTCCTTGCAGAAGGTCAGAAGGGTGGGAGCTGATTTCCCCTCAAGGGGTAAGATATTCCAGATGGCAGGAACTGTGGCAGAGAAGGCTTTTCTCCTGGACCCTGCCAGCCAAAATTGACTGGCAAGATCCTCAATATACCGCTCTGCCAGTGTGGATGGGACAGGTCAGTCCCATCATGGTGAGACAGTTCCTCAAATAGCCTGGACCCATGCCATGAAGGACTTTAAAGGTGATAATCAACACCTTGAATTGCACATGGAAGCAAATTAGTAACCAGTGCAGCTCATGGTGTAACATGGACCACTCTAGGGGCCCTAAGAAATGTCCATGCCACTGCACTCTGCATCAGCTGTAGCTTCCAAATTGATAGCCCTGTGTGGAGTGCATTGCAGTAATCCAAACATGAGATAACTAGAGCTTGAGTGACTGAGCATAGGGACTCCTGATCCAGGGAAGGCTGCAACTGGTGTACAAGACGAAGTTGTGCAAAGGCTCTCCTAGCCATGACTGCCATCTGTTTTTTGAGCAGGAATCGCAAGACAAGGAGAACCCCAAGTTGCAGATTGAGTATGTCTGGAATAGTGCCATCACAACCAGAACGAAAGAGATGAAAGTCCCAGATCTTGAAGTTTCATGCATCTAAAGCCACTTGCTCTTGCCAGGTTTCAGCTAAGTCTGTAGTCCCTCATCCAGTGTCCCTCAGCCTCTAGGCACTGCAAGAGGATAGCCACAGAGTCACTTGCTTCACCAGGGGTGGAGTTATAAAGCATACTGATGATATCTCAATCCATAGTGTTGAATTATCTCACCTAGTGGCTTCATGTAGATGCTAAAAAGGAATGGAGAGAATACTGAGCCCCATGGCATGCCACAGAGGAGTGGCCGTGGGTGGACCTCTCACTCCGAATCAACACCGATCTTGGAGAAAGCAGCCAAACCAGCACAAAACTACACCACCCAGCCTTAAACCCCGTAGCCAGCCAAAAAGATACCATTGTTGAATGTATCAAGGGTTGCTAAGAGGTCAAGAAGAGCAAAGATGGCTGCACTATTCCCATCCTACTCTCACCAGAGATCATCAGCAAGTGTGACCAATACTGTTTGTGTCCCATAACTGTCTTGAACCTTGACTGAAAGGGGTCTAGGTAATCCGTTTCATCAAGGATCCTCTGAAGCTACAAAACAAGCACCTTTTTAACCACCTTTTCTAAAAAGCAGGATGGGAAAATTGTCCAGGCAAGAGGGATTGAGTGATGATATTTTAAGGAGGGGGAGAACCGGGGCTTCCTTAAAAGGCCACGGGAATGTCGAATGTCCTCTCCTGCAATGAAGAGTTCATCATTACTTGCACCTATTCACTGTCCTGGAAGCTTTCACTAACCAGGTGGGAAAAAGAGCTGATTGGCAGGTGGGCATCCTGGGCATCTCATATGCACTGACAGCATTGAAGACTCTGTCCTCTTTCTCAGGTCCAACAGAACCAAACTGTTCCCAGATAGCTGGGCAAGACCTCTCCCCGGGCATCTCACATGATCTGCACCAAGTATGGATTCAAACTGAGAATGAATCCGAGCAATTTTGTCTTGTCAGTTGTTGAATTTGTTCTTAAGCCTTGGTCTTGTGCAGCCAGAATCAGCCCCTCAGCCTCTTCAACTTTCCTGTTCCTACCCCTTATCTGCTTTACCTGTTTTTTTTTTTTAATATACTAGCCATGTAATACTTTATTTTCCCATTGCACTTTTCTATTCTTCATTTGCTCTTTTTTGTAGGCCAGTTTGGTCTCCCCAGTACTCAGTAAGCCTTCTTGGTATACAATGGATTACTGTTGACAGAATAATCAATGCAATGATAGACAGTAGTGGTGATAGTGAATTGCCTTGAAAGATTCCTCCCTTGATATTAACTTCTCCCAATCTGTCACCATTGACCAGAATCACATCTTCTTCCATTGTACCATTGATCTTTGAACAAAACTTTTCTATTGAGTTTTTTTTTATTTCTAGGCACTTGATTATCCAGTCATGTTTTAGGGAGTCGAATGTCTTCTTGTAATCAATCCATACTACATTCAAGTTGGTTTTCTGTCCTCAAGGAAGGCAAGTGACATCACATGTATTAGTGTTTATTGCACAAAATATTAGTGTTTATTGCACAAAATATACTTAATTATTTAAGTATAAATAAGTCTACCTTGAGGAAAAGATGGATTAGGTATAATTGTAATTTGGGCAGGGGACATATAAACCAGATAAAGTCTTATCTATACCTAGGAATTGCTGTCACAGTTCCTGGCTCCCACATTTCAAGAGTTTTTTAAGGATTATAGCCAATGCTGTAAGGCATCTCAACAGCCATAGCTAACCTGCTTACCTAATTCCAATAATCAAAAACACCAATATTTTACCCATGATTACATATGGTGCAAAACATAGGAGAATATATAAATTCTTCTTTTTGGAACAGACACAGTCTGCTTTCCTGAAATACATTGTGAAGATAGACAAATCTATGCCAACTCCAGCATTAAGATCATTGATTGTTATATTCCACCTAGACTCTAGAATCACATTCTTGTCAGATGGGTAGCTATAAAAATGTGATAAATTTATAAAACCTCGACCCTTTTTGTGTGCATCACAACATTACATGCATACTCACCAAAGAGTAGTAGGGCTTGTGGCATAGCAACACAATACTGTTTCATAATTTTGACAAAAACAGATTGAACTTGTAGATTTGTTCAATTATATCTTATTACACACTACAAGGAATAAGTTGAATATAGTCCTCTGATTTGCACTCATGCTTTTTTGCGGAGTGCCCTGAATAAGACATGAATATCTTTTTGGTTTATGTGTGTCAAGCGCTTTGCTCAAATTCAGATAACATGCCATATAAATACTGGCTTGTTTATATGAGGAAGAATCAGAGTGCCTCTAAGATTCTGGAACAGAAACTGAGAGACTGAGTTCTAGTTTTCCCTTAATTGTGGAATTTGGTTGGGTGACTTTAGATCAGTCATCCTCTCTCAGTCCAACCAAGCTCACAGGATTGTGTTTGGGAAAACAGGAGGAAGGAGCATTATATACATACTTGTACAATATAAAGATGGAATATAAATAAAAATATAGTTTTGCTTGATATACCGTCAAAATGGTCTTTGTAAAAGTATTATTGAAAAATAATAGTCATTTTTTAAAAAATAACAATGTTGTTCTTTGGGTAATATTCCTACTCATATTCAATTTCCTGAAATAATTTTTTTTAAAAAAAATCACACAACTGTGCAAAACATTAGAAGTTAGGGAAATAAATTACAGAAAATATAGAGGTAGTCCTCAGTCTACGACCCTAATGGAGCCTGCCCATTACAGTGCAAGTGTTAAGTGAGACAGCCTTGCTTACCCCTTCTTCTCTCTGATGCCATTGTTATATGAACATGTGGGTCGTTAAATGAGCATAGGTAGGGGAGGACCTGAGCGGCTTGCTACCCTCCTAGGTCCACAAAGGAGATAGGCAAGCAGCAAAAAGTTTTGCAAAAACAGTCCATCTGGGGGAAGAGCCCAGCCAGATTAGAGCCTGGTACCCTATTCCAAGCCAGAGTGGCTTCCAAACAGCCTCTGTGCTTGGCCCATGAAGCTATGCTTGCGGACTGGGCCTCTGCTCCAGTCAGCTGGCTGTCAGAAACCTGCAAACTTGCTAGCTTTGGGGAAGTCAGCTGTCTGCATGCAGAGGAGCAGCTTCAGGAGAAGCTTTCCAAAACCTTTCCCTTTCTGAATACCCTCTCTCTCTCAGATACCCACATTTCTTTAATGAAGAAAAAACAAACAAACAAAAACCCCTGGAAGGGAAAGACTTGCTGATGTTTCTCCTCATCTCCCTCCCCACCACCACCATTAGGTACTGAAACTAAATTCCTGAACCTGCCAACATTGATCCCTTTTAACTACTTAAATTTAGTAAATTTACTGCATGTCTGGAAAGAGAGCAACAAAATTTGTAAGTTACTTACTTTGGTGACTCACTGCCAGGCTGAAGATGGAAAGGAAAGAAGAAAGCAAAGAATTTTTTTCTGCAGCTTTTTATATTGAGGAAATGAAGAAAAAAAAATCATCTCTAAAGAAAAAGGGGCAGCACAAATGTACACTAAATGGCCACGGCAGAAGCTGGATCCTTAAGGCAATCAAGTCTGTTATATTTTAAAATAACAATGCTACATTATGTACACTACTTATTTAGTATTCAGTAGCAAATGATTACTCAAGAATCATGGACATAGCCTATTTGGCAAAATAACTTTATATATTTGAAATGCTAAAATAAATAAAATAGTGTGGTAAGTTCAGATGTGGGTAAATAAAATGTACAATTCATAAGAGCACAAATAGAAGGTTGCCCCAATACACCAAAGTTTAGCAGTCTAATCAACATTGAGTGTTTTACAATTTCAGCTGCATTCTGAAGTTTCCACAAATGAAAATATAAAAAAGAATGGAACACAAAGTGCAAGGATGAATAAAAGATGCCAAATTCCAAAACTCCAGGAGTCAACCATCCAAAATAAACCATCAGAATTCAGCTTTTGGAAAAGTAAATAAACAAGTGAAAACTAAACCATTGTTTCGATGTCTTGCTGACTTTAAGTATGTGTACTCTATAGTTGCTCTTGATTCCTCTTATTGTAGACATTTAGAATGCCTTTGAAAGTAAAGATACCGTAGAAAATATCAGAAAAGATCATTGTCTCCTTTCTTTTTGCATCACACAGTGTGACAAGCTTTGTACTTACCCAGAACTCAAAAGCTACAGCCACTGTCTGGCTTAATCAATGGGACTGACAAAACTCAGCTGTCATTAAGCCCCAGCTCTCCTGAGTGCATCCAAAGTCTTTTCTCAGAAAAGAATCTGTCAGGTCTGAACCACAGTCACAACTGGAAACGCTTAGATAAGCTCATAAGAAGGACAATATTTACCGGAGAAAGTTGAGGACACTACCAAAATAATTCTAGCAACTGCAGTTAATCATAAGTCTTGCTTAAAAAAAACAGTATTTTCTTTAACAGTATTTTCTTTCTTGCCTGTCCCCTCATTTCAGCAGGCTAACTAGTTTCCTTCTGTGTTTTATTTTTATAAGACTTGTTCTTATAGATTTCTCACTGAGTGTGAGAGTTTACTTTTATAGTACCAAGGACTTGTCTTTGCATAAGAAGTTGCCATGAAAAAGTTGCCATGAGTCTTCATAATTAAGAGGAGTATAATTTGGAACTTGTCTAGTATCTGCCTCCCTTTCATATCATAGTAGAAATAACCAATAGTCTTACGGCCTTCATCCATAAAAGCTCTACTAGTCAAGAGAATACCAGGCTGACTAATATAATCCTGCACAAACAGACCCTGTCAGTTGACAATGCTGGTGATGCCAATAAATAGACCCAGCAGATTCAATTATGGAGTTTATGACCATGCTAACTTCAGCTAATACAGTATGTGAACTACATTTAGAAACTTGTTATGGGGGAACAACCATCTGTGTTCAGGTCCAGCACCATGGGAAGTGCTGGTGGTTAGAGTAACAGACCAATGTATGATGAGTGGGGAGTAAGAAGTTCATTTTAAGTGGATCAAGATAAAGTAGATGATAAGGATATTTATTCCTTGTGTTGTTAATATGGAAAAAATACTGCCTGCCTGTTGAAATGAGAGGAAATAGTAGTCAAATGGAGGAAGTGCAAGAATCAGATATTGTCCATCTGGCTGAATGACTGGTTATCCAAGTTCATTATTGCTCAATAGAATAGGTAATGCCTAATGCCTTTGGACTTTAGTTGCTTCATATACTGTGCAGGTATTTTATTCTGCTTGAGAAAAGATGCCTTGCCACTAATTGCCTAGTTGCCCATCACCCAACTGCCTAGCTCTGCTGGGAAGTGGGGGGAGATATTTGAATCATTTCTTCAACTGATATCTAAATGCTGTCTGTGACATGGTGCCCCTAGGCCTATAGCACATCCCTGCCCTGGACTTTGATTCAGAAGGAGTGTCAGAATCCAATTATATTTCATCTTTAATCATCAATTATAGAAAACCCCAATTCTGCCTTCTCTGGATTCTGCCATAAGAGGGAGAGAAGGGGGAGAACAAAGGGGCTTTATGGCCCTCACTTCCTTCAGTATACTCCTAAGAAGTTGAATGTGTTTATTGCAACTTCAAAGGAAGACTTTGAATATAACTAGCATCAAAGAACTTTACCATGACAAAGAGAACTAATTACCTTTCATGTAGTTATCTGAAGTCTCCATACAGACGGAAGAAAGGAGCAAGGGGTGGAACTGTGATGCCTGAAACTATCACTGGAAGGGGGGTGATTGGGTGGGACTGCTGGGGAACCCCTTAAAACCTTGAATGGGAGAGCTTGGACCCCAAGTCCTGTCTAGCATGCCTGCAACCACTTCTTCTTAATAAAGGATTCCTGTTGGAAGAATTATTCCAAGAGTTCTGTCTTCTTAAGATGCAAAGTGGGGTGGGTCCTTACATTAGACAGGACTTGCAAAATTAATCCACCTGGAAGGGAGACCCTTGCCGGGGGATTTTGCAAAAATTTACCATGTCAGACAATGGAGCAAGAGAGGGGGAAAACTCCCTGGAAAGAGAGCCGCTGACCCAGTTGGAACCTTGCCAGATGTTGGGATCCGAGAGGTCAGATTCCTCGGGAGAAGAAGTGGTGGAGACACAGGACCACAAGCCTCGCTGGTCGATGGGCGTTGGAAAGAAAAGTGAGTGGGGAAAGGAATCAAGAAAGGTGACCCTGAGACGGGGGACCAAGCAACCAGAATGGAAGCAGGAGATGGAGAAATCCCTGCACGCAAGTGAAGAGGGAGGAAGCTGGGCACCGTACTCAGACTGGATCCTAGAGAAAGCTATTGACCTGATGAAGAGAACTCTCAGCTTCCTAGGAGAGGAGAATACTGAGCCCTATGGCCGCCCCAGCTCCTGGAGCCACAAAGGGAGAGACACCGAGGGGGACGTGGAACCTGCAACCCCAGGGACATCTACTGATCCAGGAGCCCCCACCCCCTACTGGACCACAGATGGCAATCTGGACGGAAGACACTACCACCCACAACGGAGGCACCGATCCATTCCAATACGTCCACCGTTGGAGGTGAAATTCAAAGGGGAGCCAACACGCTTGGGGTTTTTCCTAACCCAAGTCCTCAGCTACATGGAGGAATATGGGCAGGACATTCCCAGCGACAAAGCCCGCATCCGGATCGTGCAATCTGCCCTGGATGGACCAGCTGCAGATTGGGTGGTGAACTTGCATGACTCCAATGCCCCAGAACTCAGTAACTTCAACCGTTTCATGTCCTCTTTGAGAAGACGATTTGAAGACCCCCTGGCTGATCGCAAAGCCCGTGAAAGAATAACAACGATGAGGCAGGGCAAACGCCCAGTGGCTGAGTATACACAAGAATTCCGGGCCATTGCCAGCAAACTGAATTGGCCAGAAGACATCCTCCTTGGCCATTTCAAAGACGGACTAAACTATGATCTATATGATGCTTGCCTGCCCCGAGGGGACCCACATCGACTTGAGGAATGGTACGTCTTGGCAGAGGAAGCAGAGATCGACATATTGAAGAGGCACCGCCGAGGAAAACAATGGAGCCGCCCCCCGCCTGAGCTGACACACCAACTGGTGAAATCATCGGATACAGCCAAGAAGCAAATGGGGTGTTTCAAGTGCGGAAGAGAAGGGCATCGAGCTGTAGAATGCCGCTCAAAGGCCCCCCAGCACAACCCAGACAGATCCCCAATCAACAAACCCGGAAAGTCTTCAGCTAAGCCAAAAGAAACAGCCATGAGAATGATGGAAATTGCAGAACCCCCCACTTCTACTCACCAAGGGGAAAGAACTCCAGCCTACACCACAGGGCCGGTGGATGCCTCAGATGATAGCTCGGAGGGCGAACCCCTGGTAAGTGGATGCATCACACCCATCCTCAAAACAGTGACTATATTAATCCCCCCCATGCCCAAAGCTGTGAAGGTGAAAGCCTTAATAGACTCTGGCTGCACCCGCTGCCTCATTAGCCCAACACTAGTGGGGAATCTGGGCATCCCATCCAGGAGACTGGAACAACCAATCTCATTTGGCCAGCTAGATGGATCCATAGCAGGGGGGGTGCCAGCTACCCTAGCCACTCTGCCAATACACCTCTCCCTGGGCAACCATGAAGAGGACATAACGTTTGTGGTGACCCCAGGTATGGAATGCCCAATGATTCTAGGGATGGAATGGTTGAAAAAATGGAACCCCTGGGTAAATTGGAGGATGACAGAAATCAAATTCCCGAAGGGGGACCCTATGGACTTAAAACCCCAAGGGAGGCTACCAGAATCAAGAATAGAAAAAGCATCCATAGGAGAGGAAAAAAGATTAACAGAAATACCAGAGGAATATAGGGACCTTGCTGAAGTCTTCAGTGAGGAGAGGGCGAATGAGCTTCCCCCCCACCGACCCACAGACTGTACCATTGAATTCAAGCCTGGGGCAAAACTCCCGAAGCCCAGATTATACTCCATGAGCCCAAAGGAGAAGGAGGAAATGGAAAGATTTATTAAAAAAAACCTAGAGAGAGGTTTCATTGAGCCAGCCAAGCCTAAAGTGGCTGCCCCGGTCCTTTTTAGAGAGAAGAAGGATGGCTCTTTACGTTTATGCGTGGATTATAGGGCCCTGAATACAATCAGTGAAAGCAACCTATACCCGCTGCCCCTCATGAAAGACATGCTGTCACACCTATCGAAAGGGAAAATTTTTTCTAAACTAGACCTAAGGGAAGCTTACTATCGCGTGAGAATTAAGGAAGGGGACGAATGGAAGACTGCATTTAACTGCCCCATGGGGTGCTATCAATTCAAAGTCTTGCCATTTGGATTACAAGGGGGCCCTGCAGTCTTTATGCAATTAATCAATGACGTTCTAAGGGAGCACCTGTTTAAGGGGGTCCTTGTTTACTTGGACGACATTCTTATCTTTACTGAAACAAAAGAAGAACACGTCAAACTTGTCAGAGCGGTTTTAAAGAAGCTGCGAGCCGCTCACCTATATGCCAAACTCTCAAAATGCGAATTCCACCAGGAAAGGATAGACTACCTAGGCTATCGCATATCCCCACAGGGCATTGAAATGGACCCAGAGAAGGTCAAAGCAGTATTAGATTGGGCGCCACCCCGCACAAGAAAACAACTACAAAGTTTCCTTGGCTTTGCAAACTTTTACCGCCAATTCATCCCCTCATTTGCCCAGATAGCCTTGCCCCTCACTAACTTACTAAAAACGAAGGGAGCATCCTCAGTAAAACCTAGCCAGCCACTAACATGGACAATGGAGTGCCAAGCAGCGTTTGAGAGACTAAAGAGACTTTTTTCTGCCGAACCAGTACTAAGGCACCCAGATATGGACAAGCCCTTCATAATACAGGCAGATGCAAGTGATGTGGCAGTGGGGGCTGTGCTATTACAAGAAAATATACATCCAAGAAACTCACGGAAACAGAACAACGCTGGCCCGTATGGGAGAAGGAGGCTTATGGGATACGTTGGGCATTACTCACGTGGCGACAGTTCCTGGAAGGCAACAAAATCCCCTTCCAGGTGTGGACCGATCACAAAAATTTAGAAGCCCTGAAAACGTCCAGGAAACTCAATCCCAAACAAGCCCGCTGGTCTCAGCATTTTCACCAGTTCCAGTTTAAACTCAAACATTTACCAGGGAGAAAGAACTTCCTGGCAGATGCTCTATCTCGCATGCCTCAATATAACAGCGCACGAACCACAGACTCTAGACCAATAATGGCAGAGTCACAACTGGCAGCACCAGTAACCACAAGAACCCAAGCCAAATTAAAACCACAACTGGACAGCCAAACTGGAATTGAATTCAGAAAAAGTTTGGAAACAGATGAATGGTTCCAGAAAAACAAAAATGTGTGCACAATGAGAGACGGGTTGCCTTGGGTAGGGGAAAAGTTATATATACCAACAACCCAAAGAATCACTTTCATGCAGCTTTGCCATGACACAAAATCAGCAGGGCATTTTGGATTTGTAAAAACTTTACACTTAATTAAACGGCAATTTTGGTGGCCATCAATAAAAAAGGACATAGAAAGTTATGTTGCCAGCTGCCCAACCTGTGCATCGGCAAAGAGGTTGCAAGGGAAGTCGCCAGGGCTATTACAACCAGTGGCAAGTCCCTCAGCCCCCTGGAGGGAAATAGCCATGGATTTTATAGTGGAATTGCCAGAAAGCAATGGGAATACTGTTATCTGGACAGTCACGGACCTATTTTCCAAACAGGTGCACTTTATCCCTTGCCAAAAGATTCCCACTGCAAAGGCCTTAGCAAAACTTTTCATCCAGCACATTTACAGATTGCACGGGGCACCCCAACGCATCATCTCTGATAGGGGAGTGCAATTTACGTCTGCATTTTGGAAGGAATTTTTATCCCTCTTAGGGACCACTCAGGGACTGACATCTAGCCATCATCCACAAGGGGATGGACAAACGGAACGGTGCCATTCGGTACTTGAGCAATATTTGAGATGTTTTTTAAATTTCCAACAGAGTGATTGGACGGACTTACTTCCTTTTGCAGAAGTTGCCTACAATAATGCAGTCCACTCTAGCACAGGCTACACTCCTTTTCAAATAGCCAACGGTCAAAGTTTCAACCCTATGCCAGAGTTAACCCCAAACGAACCAACGATCCCTTCACTGAAAGAATGGATGGAAAACCTACAAAACACCTGGCCAATAGTCAGAAAATCACTAGATGAAGCTAGGCAGGCATACAAAGCACAAGCCGATAAAAAAAGGGTTGAGCCTACACCATTCATTATAGGAGAAATGGTGTACTTATCTACAAAATACCTAAAGTCCCTACAGCCCTGTAAAAAACTTGGACCAAAATATATAGGACCTTTTCCAATTAAAAGAATCATAAATCCAGTAACAGTAGAATTAGAATTACCCAAAAATCTCAGGCAAATACACCCAATTTTTCATTGCAGCTTGCTGAAAAGAGAGCATCAGTCACCTCTACGGCCAAAAATCTCCC